AAGCTGTGATGCTGCATTTGTAGAACTTGATAAGAAATCGTCTTCTTTACCTTTAAATAATTTGGTCAAATCTGTCGGCATTGATGAGCCTCAATCAAAAAGGCCATGTTTTTGTACTGAGTTTATACGTAGCAAAGGTACACACTTACACACACGTGTGGGTATGGCTTTCAATATGCTAAGCTACATTTATTTAGGAATTTTCTCAAACTACATTTTCCCAACCAATTTTCAAGCTTGTCCTGAACCTTAAGAAGGTTAAAACAACAGATATTTTACAGTTTGCATGTGCCATTAGATCTCACAATGATACCTGGAGCCCATGCATACATCTTGCACACTTTTACAGGGGTGGTGTAACAGAGGCCACACTTTGGACCCTGCAGGTCACGAAATGTATCTCGGTGAATGTAGTCTGGGTCCAAACAGAGGCTACATTCTGTCATGTGTGAAGCAGTGCGGCCAAGTGTGACAGCTCAGTCCATCTGAACTTTGCAACATAGCAGGCGGCAAAATCTTTGTTTTCACTTGGAGTGTTGATACAGCAGTGTTGATACAGGTGAATTTTATTGCTGAGTTGATGATCAGCGGGAGGGAAGTGCAATAACATTGGACATAAAGAACACAGACAACACCCAGTGATATAAGATCATATACTGTTATTTATTTCCCTGCTGAGGAACTTTATAATGATCGATTACGTAATTTTAGTTGCAGCATTCTAGAATGGCTTTAAATAAAAACCCGCCGTTCATGCGCACGGACCAATCAGAAACCACGCTGGGAATTGGAGGCGGGATCTCTACATCCGATTGGTTAGTGAACGCAAAACGGGGCGGGGTTACGTAAAAAGCCCAACCATAACAAGTTGAACGCGTGCACTAACACGAGCCCCACGGGAGTTTGACAGTGGAGAAAGTTAAGAAGCGAAACTGTGGTTAAGCCAGAATCCACTTGGAAAATGACTGCCAAGTCAGCCTTCACGTGGTTTTGTTGTGCACGCCATCACCATGAATTACGGTAGTACCGCTTGCGAGGTGCTTTCAAAATAAAAGCTGATATTTGATAGATTCAAACTACATAAAGACAAGACTTGAAACCAGCAGTCGAAGCCGTAACGGGACCAACATTCCCACTCAGCTGTTTCCACAAAAATGTTTAATCCCACCCTCATGTACAAAAAGCAGTGAATTGCTGGTGTTGGTTAATAAAATAAAATAAACTCCAGCATAGTGGTTCAGTTGGTTGAGCTGCAGCCTCTCAGCGAGAAGGTCGTCCGTTCAAATCCCGGCCCAGTGCCTTTCTGAGTGGAATGTGCTTGTTCTCTCTGTGCATGAGCTCCAGTTTCCTCCCACAGACCAAAAACATGCATGTTAGTCTGATCGATAACGCTAAGGTTGTCCCTAGATGTGAGTGAGAGAACATGTCTATTTGTGGCCCTGTGATTTTACATGCAACATGTAGAATTTCATTTAGTCTATAATAACTAAATGAAATGAAGTTCAAGTTGAAGTTTATTGTCATTCGCATCACATGTGGTACATGAGGTGGAACAAAATTAATTGTGTACTCAGGGTCCTGGTTACACTCAAAAATAGCAAAAATATAAAGTATAAAACGTAACAGTAAATAAGGATCTACGCTATACACGAATATATACGCTAAACAAACATGAAGGCAGCTTTTATTAAGCAATAGTGTGAGTTATGAAGATTTGTTTGTTATTTCTGTATTTAACACCAGTCAGTGTTAAGGTGATGTCACATTTTTTTCCTTGAACTGTGGTATTTGATTCATGCAACAACTGTTTCATGTGTTATATCGCAAAACCACCCAGAGCACGGCCTCTAATGATGCAATGGGTTTTGTTGGAGGATCAACAAAGTCCATGCTCAATAATCCAGGTATACAATCCAACATTTTTCAGTCATGTCATCTGGACAGTTTCTTTTTTTTTTTGTGCTGAAACGTTTCACCTTCCATCCGGAAGGCTTCAAGGAAACACAACTGATTCTTCCCTCAACAGCTTACTCCAAAGTGGAACAAACCAGCTTTGTTGGTGCTAAGATGATCGCTTTGGCACGCCCCCTCCTCCGGTGCTGGCTCTCTTCTTTGTTGACAGTCATGTCAAGCTGGTTTAAAACCAACAAAGTCCATGCTCAATAATCCAGGTATACAATCCAACAATTTTCAGTTAGGTCATCTGAACAGTTTCTTTTTTTTTTTTTGTGCTTAAACATTTCACCTTCCATCCAAGACACCATCTTAGCACCAACATAACTGGTTTGTTCCACTTTGGAGTAAGCTGTTGGGTGAAGAATCACTTTTGCGTTGTGTGTTTCCTTGACTGATGAAGCCTTCTGGATGGAAGATGAAACGTTTCAGCACAAGAAAAAAAAAAAAAAAAAAACTGTCCAGATGACCTGACTGAAAATTGTTGGTTAGTTGGATGATGTTGATTTTATCCATCCATCCATCCATTATCTTTACCCGTTTATTCCATTTTGGGTCACGGGGGTCACTGGTGCCCATGTCCAGCAATCACTGTGCGAGGGGCGGGGTACACCCTGGACGGGTCGCAAGTCCATCACAGGGCCACATAGAGACAAACGAGAATAACAACCATTCACTTTCTCACTCACACCTAGGGACAATTTAGAGTTACCAATCAGCCTAACATGCATGTTTTTGGTCTGTGGGAGGAAACCGGAGTACCCGGAGAAAACCCACGCATGCACGGAGAGAACATGCAAACTCCACCCAGAAAGGCCCCTGGACCGGGGTTTGAACCAAGGACCTGCTCACTGAGAGGCAGCAGCTCTACCAGTTGTGCCACCGTGCTGCCCCATGTTGATTTTATGTTCTTTAGTATTGTATTGATGTTAGGTTTTTTTTTTTTTCATTTAGCCTTTATTTATACAGGTAGTCTCATTTACTGGTATAGTGGAAATGCTAACATGCTATACATAAAGTATTGTCAGTGGTATTTACAAATGCAAATGGTTGACAGAGGAAATTTTATGTAGTTACAGGATGTATAAATCAGCTTCATATCTGATGGAAGATGCTGATGAACATTATTTTCAATTATTTAGTCATTTGTACATTGAAACATCAAAGTTTTATAGTGAGATGTAATGATCTAAATAATTGTGCAAGCTATTTTAAGTTGAAAGCATTAATAGCAATAATTTTTCTGTCGTTTGTACTGTTAACATGTGTATTATAATATGTATGTCTTTATAGGAATGTGTTTTAATATTAACATATTACAACCATAAAGGTATAATGAGGATTTGTCATATTATGAAATAATTTTGAGCAAGAAGACTGTTTTCAAATCTGGGATTTTTGCAATGGTTAGTATTTTTAAATTACAAATATAATATAATGTCTTTGAATTGTAATCACAGTTCGTTGGTTAACTGTTGATGTTACTTCAACGTCTTTGAATTAAAACAATTTTGACGAGTGAACAAGTTAAAACACGCTTTACATTACAATGTTTCATGATCTCATTTTTGAAGGTAATAAAAGATTGGGGTGTAATTGTGTGAGCCACATCTGGAGGTGGTCTCCTGTCAGCTTGAAGTGAGTCTGGTCTTTGGAAACTAACAGTTTGGATTTATAAAACACGGAAACCTTGCAGAAAAATAGATTATTTTAGATTCCGGGGGACTTTAGTTTTGAAATTCCACATCAGATTGAGGGGCAGCTGTGGTGTAGTGGTAGAACAGCTGACTTCAACTCCCAGTCATGCCTACATTTCATGGTGTCCTTGAGCACGACACCTAATCCCATGCTCTCCAGGTGCTTCCATAGCTGCTCACTGCTCCACTTGGTGTATCTCCCAAACAACACATAGTACTTTCACTTTCAGATGTTGGTCAGAATTGGTGAGCCACATCTGGAGATGGTCTGTCAGCCTGAAGTGAGTTGGTCTTTGAAAACTTTGGTTTTTAATGACCACAGAAACTTAGTAAAAATAAAGGGGAAAATGACAGATTTTGAGGGGCTTTAATTGTGACATGCCATATCAGATGTTTGTGAAAATTGATGAGCCACATCTGGAGGTGGTCTTCTGTCAGCTTGAAGTGAGTCTGGTCTTTGGAAACTAACAGTTTGGATTTATGGTTCATTTAGTCTATAATAATAAAATGAAATGAAGTTCGAATTGAAGTTTATTGTCATTCGCATCACATGTGGTACATGAGGTGGAACAAAATTAATTGTGTACTCAGGGTCCTGGTTACACTCAAAAATAGCAAAAATATAAAGTATAAAACGTAACAGTAAATAAGGATCTACGCTATACACAAATATATACGCTAAACAAACATGAAGGCAGCTTTTATTAAATAATAGTGTGGGTTATGAAGATTTGTTTGTTATTTCTGTATTTAACACCAGTCAGTGTCAGGACATTATTACCTGCAGTGTCCCCTCAGTGAGGACTGAACTAGGCAAAAGGGCCTTCTCCTACTCTGCTCCTGTTTCCTGGAATATCTGTTTGGAAACAAACAACTCAGGAAAAAAAAAATGGACATTGTCAAATAATGGACAAACAAATGAACACACAAAACAGTGACAAAAAATGTTATGGGTCTGTATGTACAGCAACTGTAATTTTAAAACATAGAACAGCAAGAATGACATCAATCAACTGGAGTCAATACATGGAAAATTGAAGGATATTTTGAATATTTATTTTACCAACACCAGAAGTTCACCGCTTTTTGAATGTGAGGGTGGGATTAAACCTTTTTGTGGAAACAGCTGAGGAATGTTGATCCCGTTACAGCTTCGACTGCTGGGTTCAAGTCTTAACATGACTCATCTGTAGTTTGGACCTGTCAGATATCAGCTTTTATTTTGAAATCACCTCGCGAGGGGCACTACCGTAAATCATGGTGTTGGCGTGCACAACAAAACCGCGTGAGGGTCTGACTTGGCCGTCATTTTCCAAGTGGAGTCTCGTTTGATCGCAGTGAACAGCTGAGATTAAGGCGAATGGACCGACTAAAACGAGTTTAAACCGACTGCAGTTCCACAGCTGGAGCGTCAGGTAGGAACATGCGAACCGTTGTCATAACAACCGAAGTAGTCGTAAAGTCTCGTGGCGCGCGACAAGTTTTAACCGTGCTTAAGCTAATATTTAGGCGGTGTTTTTAGCCTCACTTTTTAATTCACGTCTTGTTTCTGGCTTTTCAAACAAGCTCGCAACATGTAGCAGGTCGGGGCAGGTAAGAGACAAACAGACAAACATGGAAAAGTTTTGTTGTTGAAAAAACAAACAAACAAACAAACAAACAAACAAAAACGATATCTGTTCCTGTTGTGACACAGGAGCTTTAAACAACAACTATTATCCTGCTGAAACAGGAAAACAGCTGCTTCTGTCTTCACTGGGCCTAACTTTGACTTTTATTAGACACGATTTTGATTAAAACAAACAAGGTTGCTTGGAACAATATTACTGCGGAAAATAAGCTCTGATTAAAGTCTAGGTTTTGGATGTTTGGGGTGATCGTTAAACTTAATTTAGTTCACAAAGTCAAGATAATAAAGTTATTTTATGGCACCTGTTAGGACTAATCTTGCTTTTTCAACACAGCAGCACTCCTAAATACTAAACCATGACCTGAGCTGGAAAACTAACCCCATTTTTGATTTATTTTGGTATTTATTGATCAGAATGTGGTCAATGTTTTGACAGCAGCTGTGCAGTAAGAGCTGTTATCAGCTGTCTGGTCATTTAAAAAAAAAAAAAAGTTTACTTTTCCTGATTGGATTGCAGTTTAGAAGTTGCAGAATTGAGATTTCTTAGACGACGTTCTGCTTGTAACATTTCTGGTAAAGTAATAGGTGGTTTTGTCAAAGAGTTATAAAAGCAAACGGTTCACCTAATTGTGGAGACAACTCGGAATCGGTGTAGCAGGTTTTAAATAGTTCTCTCTTACAAAATCTACAGTAGAAGAAGTGAAACACTTAACTGGCCATGTTTTCTTTTTTTAATGCAATGTGTTGTTCTTGTTTGGACCCAGGCAGACAGTCCCGGCTCACAATGGACCCCAGCAACGAGACCAACAAGATGATCTCTTCCCTATCAGATGCCCATGAAACCCAGAAAATGACCCCACCCAAAGGAGCAGGTATGTGTACACTAACATTTATTTCATCATGTAAAATTATTTAGTTACATTGTGTTTTTGGAAGGCCCAGGTAAAGAGCAGCTTTGTGTCATTGTGTTGTGTCCAACTCTTGAGGAATCCCGAGAAGAATTTTGTCAGATTTGTCTGAGACATCCGATTTAGCATATCACTGAGCTGATTAGCTGATAAGTGTTTTGTTACAAGAAAACACTAAACGCAAAATCCTTCAATCCTTTTGATGCAGTCCCCTGCTAAGAAACAAGACCGTTGATATTTACTTTAAACTGGTCACAAGCAGCATTTCCTCAAGATTTTCCAAGGTTCTTATTTGGACATTGGTTGTTTTCATTCAAGTCCTTGTGCCTGATCATTTTATAAGTTTTTATTTAATTATCATTATTTGTGAATACACTTGAGACAAATCAATAAATCATTAAAATGGTTCAAAAACTCAAGATTTGAATCGGCACTTTATCTATTTATATATATCTGACAAATTCCAAATGCCCAACGCTGATCCTCTTGAAAATTATTATTATTATTATCATTATTATTATTATTATAGCCATTTTGAACTTGTTTATATTAGCAACTGGAAAGCTTCACATTTTTTTGTTAGAATTTACATAAAAATGCTGAAATTTTCACTGTTTGACAAACATAAAATGATAAATTAGGATCAATGATAAACTAAAAAAAAAGAAAGAATACAAATGCAGTGAATCTGCTGTATCTCAAGGTTTTTTTTATTTCTTTTTTTAAGGGTCTTTGTTGGATTTTATTCCCAAACATTTCTCAATTTCAGATATTCTTCACCGCCTTTCATTTATTTATATTCTTCTGTTCATTTTCATTAGTTTAAAAACAAATGACACAGCATGCCATGTTATACCACTTAAAATAAATAAATAAATCTAAACTGAAATTGAGTAAGAAAAAATGTCCAAAGGCTAACTTCAAAGCTTGTAAACTGACTGTTTAAGAGCACTTTAAAATCCAGAAAAGAGAGGTGGTTCAAGACTTTTGCACAGTACTTTGTTAATCCAATGTGCTTGAAGTGGGTGTACTCGCGGGTTGAATGTTGTCCAACTGGTATTCAAACAAACAACCTTAATCCACGAGCCTCCATAGACACAAGAAAACTATTAAACCTGGTGAGAACACATCTGTGGGCAGATGTTTAGTTACACTCATGATGGCCATGAATGGCATCCATTTGGGCCCTTTAATGATTTATTTAAACCTTTTTTTTCCCTCCACCATTTGAAAACATACATCATTGTTTTTTTAATAACAAGTATTTGGTGGACAAGGTAGACATTTTTGTGGATTTTCCTGTAATCCATACGAAGTCAACAACAACCAAATACCCCGAGGCTAATATTTGTTAAATGTTACACCTTCTGTCTAGATATTTCATCACTCTTCTTGGCAGAGTTCATTTAAATCTGTATGGTTTTCTGGCTCAGGGTTGAGGACTTTACAAAGGCTACTCTAGAAGCTCAATGTTGGCCCGTTTTATCCAATCAGAAGCCAGTTTTGATGTGTTTGGAATCATCGCCATGTTGGAACATCCAGTCGTCTCCGTTTCAGCCATCAAGCTAATGGTTTGAGGTGAAGTTGAATCATCTGGCAGTAGACCTTCATCGTTCAAGGTTCAAGGTTCTTTATTGTCATTCGCTTCGCATGTGGTACATGAGGTGGAACAGAACTGTGGGCACAGGGTCCCAGTTACATCCAACAATAGCAAAGATATAAAGTGTAAAAAGAAACCGTAATAAGGATCTAAGATGTGCACCAAGGCACACGCCAAACTATACGCTAAATGATCCAAGATCCTGAGACAACTTTGTTGTGAATTGGCGCTATATAAATAAACTGAATTGAATTGATTGGAATGTTGTGCATTGCACCAGTACCACATCATGATGCTACCACCACTGTGCTGTGCAGTTGGTACAGTTTGAAAGCCTCACTTTGATTCCTCTAAATGTACTTTTTGTCATTTTCGAACAAATGGCTCAATGTTTTTCTCGCCTGACCATAAAAAACCTTTCTCTGGAAGACGTTTGGTTTGTACTTCAAGCTTGAATGTGTCACTTTTAAAGATGGGGCTTCTTCCTCTGTCAGCTTCCTCTCGGTCCATGGCGACAGTTTCAAGTTCATGGTCAGCTTATACCTTGGTGGTTCCCGGCTTGTTCCCGAACATCCTAACCAATTTCAATAAGTTCTGTTAAAGCAAAATTAACCAGGTATTACAGAAAATTTTAATTATGTAGTTGTATCGATTCCTAGAACATGAAAATGGTCATCGTGATCCCTCCCAAGCGACAGCGTTTGCTGCCTGTGCAAATTCTGTAAATTGAGCTAAAACATGTTTATGTCATTATGATGTTTGTACGACTTTGACCTTTTGTGGCGCAGCAGATGTTTCACATATCACCAGTTTTAGATTCTGAATCATTAACTCATCTTCTTCGTATTCATTAACTAAATAACATTTTTGACGCACTTTCACTCGTTTCTGCGATCACATTTTCAAGGAAAACGCAGCTAAAATAATGTGTCATGCAAACAACATTGTCTTCACGGAAACGGGTGTTTTTCAGCCTGACAGTGTGTAATCCCACTGACAGCCTCAAACCTATGAAGATAAATCAGTCTCAGAAGTAGTTGCGCAAGCTTACGAGATGCGGATAATAAGATCCACAGGCGTACCACAAGTTTTGCGTACTGCAAGATACACAAATGCATAAACAGTTTTTCAAATGTACACATTTCAGTTTGAACAAGTAGGAATATTCTTCATATAAAAATGTTAAATACACGTGCACAAATCACCTGCTGTGGACAAATCAGTCAACGCAAGCGCACGGGTCAGCTTGCCTATGAAAGTGACATTTGAGACTTTCTTACTGCTCCAGATTCACAAAGGTAATGCTGCGTTCAAGGCTGGGGTATCTGATTTTTATCAGATTTATTGAGTTGTTGGGAAAATACTCTAATTTGGCCATAACTCATAACTTCTATATTAAAACGCATATGCTTACATTAACAGTACTGGTTTCCTTCCAAAAAAAAATTTAAGGAAAATTTACGGTATATATACGTAATGTAATATAAGTAAAGTAAAGTACTGCGTGTTGTCATCATTGTATGTTCCCAGACAACGGTGAAATTAGTTCTCTGCATTTAACCCATCACACCAGAGATACACCCAGGTGGAGCAGTGGGCAGCTATGTAAGCACCTGGGGAGCAATTATAGATTATGGAAGGTGTCTTGCTCAGACACCATGACATGTGGGAATGGCTGGGAGTCGAACCACGACTTTCTGGTTACATTCATTTTGAGATTTTGCTTTTGGAAACTTTAATTCCTCTTTTTCTGGATGTAAATCACATTTTTTGGATGATTGTTTCCTCTGGTATCGGATGCTGTGCAGCTGGAAAACTTGTGGTACGCCAGTGGCTCTTATATAATATACAAATCTAGTTGTACACTTGTGTGACTACTTTTGAGACTAATTTATCTTCACACATTAGAGTCCAGTCCAGTTCTAAACAGCCCAGCCTATTAATAAAGTTATTGCACAATAAGACGCGTAACATAGGCATCCCAGAAATGTTGAACAGCTAAAGTCTAAATGTCTATCGTCTTACGCCAACAACAACAACAAAAAAAAGATTATTACAACAATTACTTGATTCAAAGGTGTGAGGTTTTTGGCAGGGTTTTCTATGAAACCGCTTTCTCATTTTCTCTGAACCTTTTGACTTCTACTTCCTCAAAGTCAGAAGTGTTAAATCGACTTCAGGAAAGAAAACTCGGGAGGAATGCAGCATCCTTTAAAGAAATAATCGATTAAAAGCTTGTCAGCTGAGAATTTCTGCCGAAACAGGACAAACTTAAAACAAAGGTGAAACATTTCGCAATTATAATATCTGCCCTCCAGGAAACGGCTGACTTTAAAACGTCTGACAAAGGATCGCGGTGACCCTTGACATGATTATCTATTATCTGAGAAGTGCTTTAAATGCTGAATAAGAAGCCGATACCTCAGAATAGCCTGATCCCTGAGGCGAGTCAGCAGTTCTGTTCAGCATGTGAGCATTGTCCTTCTGGTGGCTGCTGTTAGTGAGGAACAATTAAATGTTAATGCAGTAAAACATTAGCATTGCTTCAAAACAACGGGGAATTATTTTACTTTATTATTGGGGGATCTTTAAAAAATTGTAAATCATTCTGTTAACTGGTAAAAAAAAAAAAAAAAAAAAAAAAAAAAAAGCATGTCTTGAGATTGAGAGGCAACGCTGAGACCAGGAATCTGAACTGTAAATCTGTGCTCCTCTCTCCAGGCTGCAGCTGGCTGGTGGTGCTCGCAGCTGTAACGGCCTCTCTGAGCGGCCTGATGCTGGGTTATGAAATGGGCCTGACCTCTGGGGTCCTGCTGCAGCTGCGGGGCGTCCTCTCTCTCTCCTGCAGGGAGCAGGAACTGCTGGTAAGCTCCCACCTCCTTGGAGCGCTCCTCGTCTGCTTGGCTGGAGGCCCAATTCTGGACCGCTACGGCCGCCGCTGCTCTCTGCTCCTGAGCGCCGGGCTGGTGGTCGCAGGAACCGTCGTCCTTGTTGCGTTGACCACACTTGTTTCGCTCGCACTGGGCCGAGTGATCGTCGGCATGGGGACCTCTCTGTCGGGGACAGCGGCGTGTCTGTACATCGCAGAGATCTCTCCGCGGGAGAGGAGGGGTCTGCTGGTCACGCTGTACGAGCTGATGCTAGTTGTGGGGGTCATGCTGGGGTTTGGATGTAGTTACGCCTTTGCTGCGCTGCCTCACGGCTGGACATACACGTTTGGGCTTGTGATTCCCCCTGCGCTGCTCCAGATAGGTGCTCTAATTTTCCTCCCACCTAGCCCACGCTTCCTTGTTGCTCGGGGCAACGTGGAGCAGGCGAGGGACGTGCTGGCCAGGATGAGGGGTGGAGCCAAGGAGCAAGTGGCAGGGGAGCTCAGGGAGATCCAGGCTGGACTGAAAGAGGAGTCGGAGCATAGTTTCTGGGAGCTCTTCAGCAGCAAAGCAAACCTGCGTTCACGGCTGCTGACAGGGGTGGGGTTAGTCTTCCTCCAGCAGGTTACTGGACAGCCCAACATCCTCTCCTACGCTTCACCTCTCCTCCGCAGCGTGGGCTTCAACAGCGACGCCGCAGCGACCTTGGCCTCTACAGGCTTCGGAGTGGTCAAAGTAGTCGGCACCATCCCCGCCGTGTTGCTGGTCGACCGCGTGGGAACCAAGAGCTTTTTGTGCGTGGGCGCGGTCACGATGGGAATGTCGCTAGCCGCACTCGGTACGCTGACTCTACAAAGCCACACTCGCCTCACGAGCCTGTGTAAAAGCCAGGTTATGCTGAACCACACAAATACGCAGCTGGCTTTAAACAGAGCCCCTGTAGACTTGAACAGCAGTGACTTTTTTACCACTCACCTCCCCAGCCAGTGGAGCCCTGAGGAGGCGCTCAGGACTGACGCTGAGGGTGGTGGGTTTGGGGAATCAGGAGGAAGGACTAGTGTTGTAATTTTTTCTTCGTTGAAGTGGGCGTCATTGATCAGCCTGCTGTTGTACGTGGCAGCCTTCTCCATTAGCCTGGGGCCAAGTAAGTGCACATCTTCATTCTTTCTTTACTGTTTTTCTTATACATTTTATTGTTTGATGTAACTGGGACCTTGTGTACATAATTTCGCTCCACCACATGTACCACATGAGGTGCGAATGACAATAAAGAAACTCTGACTTTCTTTGACCAGTATGATCGTGGCTTACCAGAATATGATCCATATGTACTTCTAGACAAAAGACTGGTGTTTTAACCACCTTGTATAGTTGGTGACAAAGTTCAAAAGTTGCAATTATTAGGCCTGTCACGATAACAAATTTTGCTGGGCGATTGTCTCAGAAATTATTGCGATAAATGATAATATTGTTTGAAATTTGACAATAATTAGTAATTGTCAAATTTAAGAAGAATTGTTGGTTAATTTGTTTTGCATGTAGTGCCTTTTTTGACCACTGAATGGCAGTATAAGACTGTTTGAACCGAAGGATGGATAGTGAGGGAGCAAGCAGTGTGTCTCTTTAAGAAAAATGGGAGGGAGGCCCCTTGACGTGACATGGGCTGTCTCTTTCCTTTTTATCACTTCTCAAAATTACGGATGCTTGGTGTGGTTTGAGCTCTTTAGCATAGCATTTTTCACACAAAGCTTTTAATAAAAAAATTTTTAAAAATCGGTAAACAAGTTCTCAGCTTCTTTTTGCAGAGAAAACAACTTTTTACACAAAGGCACGAGTTTCAACCGTGAATTTTGGAGCTTCGACAAGACAAAGTTTTTTTTCCCCAGGTCGGCCGTTAGCTTAGCTCGTAGCTTAGCTTCTCAGCTTAGCTGCTTTTAACGATACACAAATGCAATTTTGTATCGTTAAAATGGATTTTAAAGAGAAAGGGAGGGATCAGTGAAGAGCACTGGAGTTGAGCCTTTTGTCATCCAGTGTCTTCAGTAGAAAGAGACGAAGAAACGATAGTCGATCATTTTCATTTATCATGAGATTAATTGATTTATTGTTTATTGCGACAGGCCTAGCAGTTATAAAATAAATAAGAAAATTGGACTAGATCATGGATAAGAATGCTATAATCCCACCCTTTGATGATGTAACATAAATCCTGCATCCAAAGTTGTTGTTTATATATTTTGTTCTTCTTTTCAGTGGTGTATGTCATTCTCAGTGAGATCTTTCCCATGGGAGTGCGAGGCAGGGCTGTGTCTGTGGTGTCAGCTGTGAACTGGGCCACAAACCTGCTCATTTCCATGACTTTCCTCACCATCACAGGTCTGTGGGTTTTGGTGTTAAGCATTAAAGCACCGCTCGTCGTAAGAGCAGCCAATCTACGATCAGTGATCGAAAATGCAAAATTAACGTTTTAGCTGTGACGCAGCCTTTACCTTTTTATTTGGATTGGGAAAGAAAATGCCATTTTTAGTTTTTTGATTTGATCAAACCCAAAATACAAAGGGTATTAGAAGTTTGTAAACTTATTAGCAGCTATTTTTATTATGTGAATGCTTCATTCACACTATTGATATTGTTTTACTTCCGTACGTTTTTTGACATGTAATTTGTTCCACAATTTTTGTGCTATTTCAACAATTCATATTAAAAAAACAACTTGGGACATTCCTGCTATGACTTGGTATTTGTGCAATATTTACTTTAAAATATTTAGCTTTTTCAACCATGTTTTCTTCATTTAAACTGAATGGAGCTCTCGTAACCTGTTACTGCTCACTTCAGCTTTTGTTCTGGTTTAGCTTCGTTCAGTTTCTTTGTGCTATTTTTTTTAGCTCCTTCAGTTACTTTAAAATCTTTATAATCACTTCAGCTTTTTTGTTCTTTTTTCAGTTAATTTAAGCTTTTGATGCTCCTTTCAGCTTCTTTCAGCCTTTTCAGGTATTTTAATGCAAATTTTATTCTTTTTTTATTCAGTTTTTTTTTGGGAGGCTAATTTTGGCCTTTTTCTGCTACACACACACACACACACACATCTACTTCTTCTTTCAGCTTTTCCCTCTTCAGGGGTTGCCACAGCAAGCCATCTCACTGTTCTCACTCCATCTACCTCCATGTCCTCTCTAACTGCATCTACAGGTCCTTCTCAAAAAATTAGCATATTGTGATAAAGGTCATTATTTTCCATAATGTAATGATAAAAATGAAACTTACATATATTTCAGATTCATTGCACACCAACTGAAATATTTCAGGTCTTTAATTGTTTTAATACTGATGATTATGGCATACAGCTCATGAAAACCCAAAATGCCTGTCCCAAAAAATTAGCATATCATGAAAAGGTTCTCTAAACATGCTATTATTAACCTAACCATCTGAATCAACGACGTAACTCTAAACACCTGCAAAAGATTCCTGAGGCTTTTAAAAACTCCCAGCCTTGTTCATTACTCAAAACCGCAATCATGGATAAGACTGCCGACCTGACTGCTGTCCAGAAGGCCATCATTGACACCCTCAAGCAAGAGGGTAAGACACAGAAAGAAATTGCTGAACGAATAGGCTGTTCCCAGAGTGCTGTATCAAGGCACCTCAGTGGGAAGTCTGTGGGAAGGGAAAAGTGTGGCAGAAAACGCTGCACAACGAGAAGAGGTGACCGGACCCTGAGGAGGATTGTGGAGAAGGGCCGATTCCAGACCTTGGGGGACCTGCGGAAGCAGTGGACTGAGTCTGGAGTAGAAACATCCAGAGCCACCGTGCACAGGTGTGTGCAGGAAATGGGCTACAGGTGCCGCATTCCCCAGGTCAAGCCACTTTTGAACCAGAAACAGCGGCAGAAGCGCCTGACCTGGGCTACAGAGAAGCAGCACTGGACTGTTGCTCAGTGGTCCAAAGTACTTTTTTCGGATGAAAGCAAATTTTGCATGTCATTCGGAAATCAAGGTGCCAGAGTCTGGAGGAAGACTGGGGAGAAGGAAATGCCAGAAGTCCAGTGTGAAGCATCCACAGTCAGTGATGGTCTGGGGTGTCATGTCAGCTGCTGGTGTTGGTCCACTGTGTTTTATCAAGGGCAGGGTCAATGCAGCTAGCTATCAGGAGATTTTGGAGCACTTCATGCTTCCATCTGCTGAAAAGCTTTATGGAGATGAAGATTTCATTTTTCAGCACGACCTGGCACCTGCTCACAGTGCCAAAACCACTGGTAAATGGTTTACTGACCATGGTATTACTGTGCTCAATTGGCCTGCCAACTCTCCTGACCTGAACCCCATAAAGAACCTGTGGGATATTGTGAAGAGAAAGTTGAGAGACGCAAGACCCAACACTCAGGATGAGCTTAAGGCCGCTATCGAAGCATCATGGGCCTCCATAACACCTCAGCAGTGCCACAGGCTGATTGCCTCCATGCCACGCTGCATTGAAGCAGTCATTCATGCAAAAGGATTCCTGACCAAGTATTGAGTGCATAACTGAACATGATTATTTGAAGGTTGGTGTTTTTTGTATTAAAAACACTTGTCTTTCATTGGTGGGATGAAATATGCTAATTTTTTTGGGACAGGCATTTTGGGTTTTCATGAGCTGTATGCCATAATCATCAGTATTAAAACAATTAAAGACCTGAAATATTTCAGTTGGTGTGCAATGAATCTGAAATATATGAAAGTTTCATTTTTATCATTACATTATGGAAAATAATGACCTTTATCACAATATGCTAATTTTTTGAGAAGGACATGTATATACCTCAGTCTTTTTCCTGGCAGCTGCATTTCTAACATCCTTCTACCAGTATACCCACTGTCCCTCTTCTGGACATGTCCAAACCATCTCAGTCTGGTCTCTAACTTTATCTCCCAGTTGTTGAACATGTGCTGTACCTCTAATGATCTCATTCCTAATCTTATCCATCCTTGTCACCCCTAAGGAGAACCTCAACATCTTCATTTCTGCCACTTCCAGTTCTTACTCTTGTCTTTTTGTCAATACCACTGTCTCCAGACCATACAACAGCTGGTCTCACCACTGTCTTGTAAACTTTTCCTTTGACCGTTGCTGACACACTTTTGTCTCAAATCATTCCTGAAACTTTCCTCCATCCACTCCATCCTGCTTGGACTCTCCTCTTCACCTCTTTACCACACTCCCCATTTTCCTGGACAGTGGACCCCAAGTACTTGAAGTCCTGCACCTTTGTGACCTCTGCTCCTTGTAGCCTCACTGTTCCACCAGTCTCCCTTTCATTCACACACATGTGCTCTGTCTTACTACGGCTGACTTTCATTCCTCTTCTTTCAAGTGCATACCTCAACCTCTCCAAGTTCTCTTCCACCTGTTCCTTGTTCTCACCACAGATCACAATGTCATCTGCAAACATCATAGTCCACAGGGATTCCTGCTTGACCTCATCTGTTAGTTGGTTCATCACCAGAGCAAACAAGAATGGGCTCAGAGCTGATCCTTGGTGCACTCCCACCTCCACCTTGAAGCTATCTGTCACTCCTCCAGCACATCTCACCACTGTCCTGCTGTCCTCATACATGCCTTGTACCAGTCTAACATACTTATCTGCCACTCCAGATTTCCTCATACAATACCACACCTCCTCCCTCGGCACTCTGTCATATGCTTTTTCTAAATCCACAAAGACACAATGGAGTTATTTGTGGCTTTTTCTGTACTTCTCCATCAGCATCCTCAAAGCAAAGATGGCGTCAGTGGTGCTTTCTTGGCATGAAACCATACTGCTGCTCATAGTCACCTCTCATCTAAGTCTTGCTTCCACCACTCGCCTAGGTCTTCATCATGTGACTCATCATTTTAATTCCTTTTCTCACATTTTCTCATCCTCAAATATGCCATTGAGTCGGTAACCTCACTGCCATCTTTCCTATAAGCTGACAAAGAGCATTTATTTCTTGTGTTTCTTATAGAAAAGATTAGTGTTCCCAATGTCATGTTCCTGTACGCTGCCCTGAGTTTTGTTCTGCTGGTGTTCGTCATCCTCTGTGTCCCTGAGACCAAAGGCCGCTCGCTGGAGGAGATCTCAAAAGAGTTGGCAAAGAAGTATGCGGCAGCTCACTCATGTTCTCAACTCACTGCTTATCTTGCAAACTGGTGGTAAAACTGATTTCTCTGTTTTGTGTCTTTTCTCTGGCTCACCAGGAAGAATCTGGAGGTGCCCCTTTTCAGACAGGAGCAGCCACAAGAGAGCCTGATCAACCGGAGCACACATCAGGAAACCTCTGACTCTTTTAAAGCTATTCACCTTCTGCGACCTGAGAGGAAGGAGAAATGATCAGTTGTACATCCCTGCACCGTTTGCTGGATCACATCATTTAGCTCCTTTTGGGAAAGGAACATGTTCAGAAAAGGACACAATTTCTTGAATCAGATTAGCTCAGGGTTTACCGTACTTGGCTTTTTTTTTATTTTTAATTTGGTCTCAAACAAAATGGAAAAATAATCAGGAATGGATGTATGAATACATAAAGTGTATATTTTGACCAATTTCTAGATAATCAAAGCCGAAAAGCACTAAAAACAACAATGCAGTCTCTGAACTAGCGGTGAAACTGAACTCCCAGTTTATTTTTTCCATTTTGAGCCAACATTTACGTTTACCCGTGCCTAAAGTCACGACACTACAGACCTGAATGTTTTTAGTGCCGTGATTTTCCTCTAAATGGTTCCTCAATGCGAGGAACATATTTTTATCATTTACATATTTTAGAAACCAAAATGCTCTTTTCTGGCTGTTAAAAAAAATAAAATCTACATGATGTGAAAATATTTCCCAAGAATTAGTTTGATCTGCTCTGAAATAAAATTGCACTTTTTTTTTAAATACTGTACTACTATAATACTTTATATAATGCATTATAAGATGCTAGATTTTAATGAAATTATGTTTTTTTCTGGGACTTCATGTGTTCAGGTCATGTTTACAACTAGAGTGATCAAAACCAGAGTGGAAAATAATCCTCCAGCAGTCGCACAGGTTTTTTTTTAAAGTCATTTTATTTTTATACAAAATACAAAAAGTTGAAGTGTCACAAATTCTTAGTTGACACTCATTTAAAAGATACTCCATCCCACAGACATTAAACATATCAAAGTTTAATTAACATTTTTTAAAGAGACAAACGTTCTAAACATAAGTTTCCTCTGTGATGCCTAACAGAGCAAGCAGCTGTTATGGAATAATTAAAAACACTTTTCTTTCTGTTTTCCACACCGTGTTTTAAAGTTTATCTTGCTCTACTGAATGTATTACGACACTGTGATGAACAGTACTGCTGCAGTACTACTGACTCCACAGAGCAGCTGCTTATTTCATCAGGACTTTGGGTTCGGTTTCACATTAACCTTCTACTACTTCATCCACTTGAGTGTTTCACAAAGCCGAACGTCGGAGACAATAAAAAGGTCATTTTGAACACTACTGAACCAGAAGCTGTGTGAAGTGAAGACCAATGAATGTTGTGAAATATTGGGATTGAGTTCACATAAAAAAAAAAAAACCATTAAGGAAGCTTTTCATATTTGCACACTAACATGAGAGAATAAATATTCAGGCTTTGCATGAGAGTAAAAACCGTAGGAAAGAACAAGAAAACAGTCAGAATGTGTGCTCGTTTTAGAGAAATGCCAGAGTAAAAAATAAAAAAAAAAGAATAAAAGCATTAATATACGCACAAGACCTTGTTTAGCTTTGTGTAAACAAGTAACAGGTTCCTTTAGCTTGTGTCCATCTCACATATATCTGTACAGCATGAAACGGATGTCTGGCCGTGGACGGAAATCTATTTTTTATATAGAAGAAAACAAAAGGAAAACCTTGTGAAGAAGCTTCTTAGTCTTAACACAAACTTTTAGCAATAACTGCCACTGTTAAGCATTAAAAGTTACATTACTAAAACTTATTTTTCCCTGTGTCCATGCATAAGCATCCTAAACAAACACCTTTGTTTAAAACTCGGAGTGGGGGGGGGGGGGGGGGGAACGGACAGGGGGGTTATGACCTGCAAGATCCACGTCCAGTCAGTTGGTTCAGACATGTGGCCGTTCCCACATCTATCCAAAGATAAGGTGCTTCCTCATCACTCGGGGGTTGTCTTCCTCTGCGAGCCTGTGAAATGTTCTTTCATTTGCAGCGGGGTTTCTGACACTCAAACAGAAGAGGGTAGATGTATTCCACCGCTGCTGCCACGTTCTGCACGTTTGGTCCTAAATGATCGCGGGACGAAATGAAAGCAGAAAACACATCCTGAGTAGTTGGAAACAACAAAATGAGCTGATTACCCGCTTAAATATATAGACAGTCAAAATAGGAGAGAGCACAAACTCACTGTCAGGAATTATTTGAGGAATTGTCCTTTTTTACGTTTTTTTTTAACAAATCAATGTTTGGTAACGGACTACCTCTGGAGTCTTATGACAGCATGGCCTCAATTCATTAAGCTGGTGTGCCCTCTAGCTGTCAAAAGAGTGCCAAAGAGGTTGTTCTTTTTTAATGTGCGAGTGAACGTGTGAATGACATACCTGTAATTGTGAGGCTGCCAGTGGAAAACACCTGTACTGTAGCCTTCAGAGTTTTGATTCTGTACATAGCAGCAGGATGGAGCTCCGGTTCATAACTGGCAGAAAGAGGCAATAATGTGCTTCAGTAAACAGAGAAAGTAGAATAACTGGGAAAAAACTTATGGTTCCCCCCCCCCCAAATAATTCAAAAAGTGTTCCAACTGTAACGCTACACATTTGTACTGTAGTCCAAAAGAATAAAAAATATATTACTAAATCACTTAAACCACTAGAGGTCATCCTAAAACAGCAGCAAGTATAACGAGTTCTCGAAAAATGGACTGGAAAACCTTGAAAAAAACCAAAACAACATCGGTTACAAAGATTGTGAAGCTCGTATATTTAATGTGTGATCATAATGCATGTCTTCAGATTAATTAACTAAAGTATTCTTGGAAGATTACCGACATGCGAGGCAAAAAGATCGCAACATGACAGAGAAATGGACTTCAGCATGACCTCGTAGATCAAGATTACATAGTCAGGTCCTAACAGTAGTTCTGATGCACACTTGTGTCTTACCTGGCAATGGGCCGGTTCTTCTTTGTGAAGTCTATAAGGTGGACTGCAAACGGCATGGAGCACACCGCGAGCACATTCACAACTTTGAAAGCTGAAAACCTCACCTGAACAGACGAGACGCACAAAAATATGAGCGCACTTCAGGGCCTCAACTCTGAAGCAATTATGGTGACTTTATTTAATCCAATGACCAAAACGTCTGCAACACTTAAAACTAGAGTGCATGAGGGATTAAATTTGGTGGCGTTTGCAACACTCAGAGAAAATAATAAAACATGCTCAGAGTCACTAAAATCTGAGGTTTATTGGAGAACGCGGTTCTGCAGCTGCTGAACATGATGGCAGTCAAACGGTTTTAAACCATCAACAGGTCCAGATGTATTTTCTGTTTATTTGACTGCTGTTTGCAAGAAAGGTGAGACACAGGCTGCCTCAATTAAATCCATAATCAGGACAACTATAATTACAGGAAGCACATTTTAAATCTTTCCTAAAATTCCTGGCCTTTTGAGGATTCTACTCACCTTGAAGCCAAGTTTCTGTAGACAGCGAGCTAACCTGCGAGCGCCCAGCTTTGCTTCGTCCTCACTGAACAAGAGAGAAGAGGAAAGAGTTGCAACACGACACTGTTACCTCGTAAGCTTTGACATGCAAAACAGATGACACAAACAAAAACAAGCCTGTGGTAACCTTTGCTGTGCTTGCAGCCTCTAATCTGAGACAGCATTAGCAACAGACATGCTAACAGCACCGTTATCAGTAGATTGTGTATTTTTTTAAGCAATAGGGAATATTTTAAATGTAAGACTTTTATTAGTGACTACATAAAAACTGCATTCACTGTTTTGCATTAATGTGCTGTCTCTGTCTGTATCCAAGTAACCATAGTAACAGGGACACAGTGAAAGCCTTTAAATGATGTAACACGCCAACATCAGATTTGGATCGGTACTGTGTAATGAGGAGCTTTTTTTTTTTAAAAACATGTTCTTGTTTTTCTCCTTTTGATTTTAACAATTTAAAAGTGTGTGAAACGTCTAGCTCGATTGTTCTTTTTTAGACATGTAGTTTTATTTTGCGTTGACACCGTTTTGGAAATTTCAATCATTTTTCTTCCCTTTCCCGGTCAAAAATCCAAACCAGGAAAAGGTTAAGTCTCGGGATGGAAAACCTGAGCACGAAGCAGCAGCATTGTTTGAACATGAAACACCATTTTCTGTGCTCTTCATTTAAACAAACCAGTTCGGTTAAAGCCATATCTGAAAACATTGAGTCACCTCTTTTTATTCCTCTCAAAGAAGCCAGACTTCTTCTATTTTTAAACTGTTTTATGCAGACGTTCTTCAGAGCATCAGAAGCTCTTCTCAATTTTCTCATGTCTTGCTCTACTTGAAACGGCTTTTAAGCAGATTTTAAACGCACGTTCATCCTCTTACCTTGTTGCTCCAGTGCATATGATTTTCCCTGAGGACCAGATTGAGGCGGTTATCTTGGGCTTCCTAAGTTTCATCAACACTTTCTGAAAAACAGAATGCTCTTTTAACAATTGAACATGGTCTTCTTTTCTCCTTTCTTCTAAAACCTGAATGTGAAACATCTGTTGGTTTTAACAATTAAGGCTTTCCTACCCCAACCTCAGGCTTATAGATGACATTAGTTCCTTCTAAGGCGATGGTGCGCAGGTTTAGGTGGCACCTGGTCCTGAACGTGGCCACCACATTTGTGATGATGATGTCCAGTGCCTCATCCCCGCTGGAATCCATGAGGAGGTGTGTGGCACAGAAAGAGGACCCCGGGGTCTTTCTGATCACTCATTCATTACAGTCCCATCATCACAACTTCATGGATGGACAGGTGGAAAAGACTAAAAATAATCTTTCAAAAAGGAACAGAACTGAGTAGTGTGCCGAGATGATTAGTATCAGACATTTCTACTGAGGCTGCAGAAAACTGAATAATGCTAACATAATTTCAGCAACTGATTTGTTTGTGTGTATTCCACATCATTAAAGGGCAGATATTAAAAGAACGACACAACAGTAAAGCTACAACCGATCTGATCCAGCTTGTTGTTGCAGCTGACAGTCTTCAGAGACATGAACGCTAAATGTCTCGTCTAATCAAACTGCCGATCAGGTAAACATTAAAAATAAAAAGAGCAATTCGATTCTACTTAATCCGAACTGTGGTTAAACTTTTATAAAATAACCGCTTCAAACTGAGCAGTTAGCGATGTCCAACTACTGCCCGAGAGCTAATGTTGTTGTGAAGCTGTACGTTAGCTCGTAACAAAGAGGAACAGCAGGTAATGAATGAAAAGTTGTTAGCTGCGGAGGCTAACAGGCTAGCTGCTGGACTGAAAACGAACTTCCAGGAAGTAGCTACACATTTAAAAACAACAAGTATGAATATTTAATGTTTGGTGTCCGTTTTTAGTTACCTCCTTAATGATTCCAGTGCGGTAACTGAACCATTAACTACTCAACAAACAGTATTATTTGTTGACTAACCTCCTCCTGTGCAGATCACCAGGAAAATATGTCCACTTCCGCTACGTTTCAAAAGAAAAGCACTCGAGTAACAATAACTTCCGGATTAAATTTTTCAAAGTTAAAATTAACGTTACAGAACAGCTTCAGAGCTACGAGGCGTTAATTAATGTTTTAATTGGAATATACAAAAATACCCAACATATATAACAACAGAACATAAAATTATATAAGTAAAATGTAAAGGTTGCATAACTTCTTACTTTGAAAAGTAGGGTTGATATTTCATGACTGGGATCTTTTGTGGATTTAAACGCAAATTAGTCAAACGTATCTTAATTTAAATTAATGTTTGCTGCTGTGTAGATCTTCTGCAGAACGCTTGAGCAGCTGATCATAAATATCAATCTTAATCTTGATGAAATTTGACCCCCCAAAAAATGACTAATTCAACTAGCAATCATAGAAGAAATGCATATCACCCATCACCATGCCAAGGTTTGAAACAAAAGTCTAGCACAATATGTTAGCGCTCAGAGCATGTGTTTGGGATGATTCTCAGCTACCACCATAATAACTTTTACTTCAGTAGCTGTAAAACTGCACTGTCATTTTTGTGTTTGCTGTAGTTGACTGGCTGTGGTGGCCATTTTGATTCAGGTTGACCTCTAAAGTTAATTAGATAGTTTCATTAAAATCCATCTCCTGGCTCAAGATATTTTGTTAACAAACAGACACATTTACATCCATGTTTTACAAAAATCAAACTAAGAACGGGTTAAATTTCCTGTTGTCTCTGGCCCAAATCTGCATGCTTGCTATCATGTCTTTGTAATTATGCATGTCTGCCAACATTTCACTCAACAGGCTTGTGTTAACATTATTTCTCCACAACATTGTGTGAGCCTTTTCACTGTTTACAAAGTATTGACATTTAAACTAAGAGGATTCATGGATTCTCAGAGGAAAATGAGCTCATCTGGTCAGTAAACACTCCACAGGGAACTCCAGTTGGTTTGCAGAGAAGAGGAAGGCAACTGGAAAAATTAAGTCATTACCGTATTTTCCGCTGTACACGTCACACCACCCTATAAGTCGCATCAGTCCAAATATGTCTAAAAAAGTGGAAAAATCCATAAATATGTCGCTTCACTGTATACGTCGCATCTATTATGCGTCACTGCTGACAACCTGGAAATGTGGGCCGGTGTTGTGCCAAAAACTGACCTGCTGCCAAATGACAGCCGCAGGAGCGTGCACGGGAGGACTTCAACAATAATTTAACAAGGTTAACACTTAAAAATAATTATTTGTTTGCTCAAAATTATAGTAAAGGTGTGTCTCAGTTTAACGTTTGCTTAATAAAAGGACTTTAACGGTCAGATCAGCTGTATTCGCTGCCTCGGTGCCCCTGAAGCGCGCAGAGGGAGGAAAAAAACGAAAAAGGAACACTGCTCGTTTCTTCGAAATTTAACAAGAAAAGCACCTAAAACAATTATTTGTTTGCTTGAAATTATAGCAAAGGTGTCTCAGTTGAACTTTTACTTAATAAATGCACTTTAATGGTCAAATTAGCTTCATTTCGCTGCACCGCCCCGGCGAAATGAAGCTGGTTTGACGGTTGCTCCAAGCAGCGAACAGAATGAAGGTGGAGTACTATGGCAAGCTGATTGTGTCATTAATAGCTGGTGAAGATTCTCAGGCATCCAGGACATGGTAAATTCAAAAAAGGTTCAAGACAACAACAATAAAGTATAAGGTATAATAAACAAAGTCCAGTTGTTTTTGTCTTGAACTTTTTTGAATGTGTCATTATAGCCATAATTTATCTATTACATGATACAACGGCATGCCTTACTACTTTGCTGTAATCTAGTGGCTGAAAATAGTACTGTTCAATTTTTTTCAGTCAGAATGAATGAAACCATCATATCTCAGCCAAAAATTGGTTTATAAAAATGGGAAAAATCCATAAATAATGTATATTCCTTCGGCCTATAAGTCATAGGGCATGTAAATTATGCAAAAAAATGTGATTTATACAGTGAAAAATACGGTAAATGCCATCCTGAGGATCTTGTTGGGTATTCTGTGGTGATTGTATTTTTAGAGATAGCAAGGAAAAAGAAAAGACTCACCTTAGGGATGTTTAGACTTTTGCACAGCACTGCTTCACCATGTACCTGATAAGAATGACATCTTTATGAGATTAAGTTGTTTAAACCAGGCACAGGTTCAAACCTGTGCGTGTGCACATTTCACACATTTGTTATCAATGACTTATTACTATGAACAATCCACTCTTCGTCTCAGACCACTACAACTACTTCTCCAGCCTGGCCAGCTCCCAAAGAAAACAGAAAAATAACTTCTTTATAGTTCAGCCTTCTTCTTGTTGTTGTTGTTCTCTCTCCCTGGTTACCAAAGCTTCTTCCTTCCTCCTCTCATAAAATACTCCTGAGCTTTTCTTGGTGAAATATAGCCTTACATGCAATGTGCACAAGACCCATGTTCTGTTGTTCCAAGATGTTTACTGTAAAAGTTTAACTTTAGAGTGGATCAGGAAAGTGGGACTGCCAGCATCAATGGTGTGTGTGTGTGTTGGGAGATGGCTGACACGGTGGTGCGGGAGTGTGTTTACAGTTTGTTGGTCTGAGTTTCACCGGGGCAGCTTCTTCCCAAGGGAACAATGCTCATTCTCATTAGGTCAGAGGATACAGCATGTAAACCCACAGATGCAAGCACTTATGACTAAAGAGACACAGATATGTGCATGAGTAAATAGACGGTTCATCACCGTGCCTGAGTGTCAATAAAACTAACAGAGGGAAATTCAGAAAGAAACATGTGTTTATACCCATGGGGAGGTTTGTGGCTGTATGCCTTAATGTCTGAAAAAAAAACAAAAAAAAAAAAAACAGTGTTGGACACAATCTGGAAAGTAAAAAAATAAAAAATGAAAGGGATAATGAGATCTTATGAATTATCATTATCTTACCTGTTGTAGATAGTTCTTTGAGGAACATCAGATTGAGAAAGAGTTTAATTCTCATCTGATATTTGTCAGAGTAATGTTCCATCCATCCATCCATCCATCCATCCATCCATCCATCCATCCATCCATCCATCAAATATTTTATGAAATTTCTGGCAATGTCATGGAACAAATAGAGCTCCTATATTGGATTAAAACTTACTTTATAGAATGCAGCTAATAACAAAGAATGTATAACCAAGTTTGTTAAACTAATTGAGAAATATGAAGCTATGCATTTTAGAAGAATAAAAACAAGGCAAATTTCTCATATATCATCTGATTCTGAGGAGATCGGGTGTTTTCAGTCATGGGCCCTAAACTCTGGAATAATCTGCCCATCAACATTCGACAGGCCACCTGTCTCTATTTTTAAATCTCTCCTCAAAACACATCTGTACTCACTGCCATTTAACGCAGTGTGATCTCATTTGGTATTTCGTCGTTGATGATTGTGTATATCCATTTTGCTTTTACTCCCTGACATTTAACGCAGGGTGATTTGATTTAGTATTTCATTGTTTCTCATTATATTTCATGTTTTTATGCTTTTATTCATGTTGCTGTAATATGTTGTTATTAATATTTGATGCTGTGATCTTTTTTGGTAAGCACTTTGATAACAGTTACTGTTTTAAATGTGCTATATAAATAAATGTGACTTGACTTGACTTGATTCTGGGGCTTCAAATGACACTTTCAGGTCAACAGATTTGTATGAAAGTTGTTCAGAATGTAGAAAAGAGTTAGAGAAAATTACTTTTCCTTTAATGAATTTTTTCCCATTCGATGTGTGACTTTTGGTCACCGAAGCCAAGTATTTGAACTCATGATGGAGGATTGTAACATACCTGCATTTTATTTACCCACCTCTTTCTTTCTGGGTCACAGGGGTCACTGGTGTCCACATCCACCAGTCACTGTGTGAGAGGCAGGGGACACCCTGGACAGGTCTCCAGTCCCTCACAGGGACAAATAGAGACAAACAACCATTCACTCTCTCACTCACACCTAGAGACAATTTAGAGTTACCAATCAGGCTAACGTGCATGTTTTTAGTCTGTGGGAGGAAACTGGAGCACCCAGAGAAAACCCACACATGCACGGAGCGAACATGCAAACTCCACCCAGAAAGGCCCCTGGACCGCTGATCAATTTGAATTTATTATTATTTATTGATTATATTTTATGTCATTTTTCAGTATCAAATGATAAAAAATATTTACAGTTTAAATAAGGATTAAATGTTTTTTTCAGGCGAACTGATGCACTTTAAATTGTTTCTGTTACAGACTAAAAACAATGTTAATAAAGTTATTCTTCGCTGTAAGTTTAATCTTGAGTCTTTTTTTCTTCTTTAATAATAAGGACACAATGTAATGCAGAGGTGCACTTACAACAATTCTGTAGACTAATTATAGTATTTACAGTCACAGTGGGGAGTTGGGGTGGCGCAAAATGTTTACTTTATCCTGGGTGGGGGGGAGTCGTAACAGAAAATAATTGAGAAGCACTGGTTTAAGGGAACATCTAAGACTGTGCAGAATGAACTCCTTGATTGTATGCTGTCAGTTTTGAGAGAGTGCATCATTAAAGAAATCAGGAGTGCGGACTTTGTCTCCATCCAGGCTGATGAAACATTGGACATTTCCACTCGACACACTTATAGCCCCCCCCCCCTGGAGACAACTCCACCAGCCGCCACTGATATAGATGATCTGTGACAAGGCTACACAACACAGTCCACAGGCAATGAGTTAATTTAAAATAAAAGTGGTTAAAGTGCAGATTAAATTTATTTAATTACAAGAAGTGCTGGATGTCCGACCCCTGGCGTTCAGTAACTCCCACCCCACCCCCCGAGTGTTTTAGCTGACTAGCCTTTCCTAAAAAATATACCACAGAACTTCTAGCTGTTTATATGTTTTGTAAAGACACAAAACATGTTTATCCGATTGTCTGGATTTGGTAGTTTGCTACTTTTTATTGCCAGCTGCTATTTAATTACTACTGTGCA